ACAAAATGACCATCGTTTCTTCGCCTATATAACGGAAAACCATTCTGATCAACAGACGAATGATTAATGAATTGTTTTGGAAAGTTTTTAGAGCACTTTTTATCCACCATGCATGGACAATTCATATTTTCAGCTCCACATGGACCATGAATCATAAACTCATTTACAAGTGAATACAATTCAGGATCTTCAATTCTGTCTGGTATCTCTGCTGAAATTATTGGATCGATAAGTTCAACAGTTGGTAGCTTGTTGTCAGAATGCATGAATAGACATATATGACTATGCGGCAAACCTCTTTTTTGAAATTCAATGGTATAAACATCTGTAAAAGAATTTGACAAAAAATAAAAGAGAATGTGATTAGATATCAAAACATATTTAAAATATAATAATAAGATCAATGTTTTATAAAAAAATTAAAAATATAGTTTTAATTACATGCTTGAACTTTGCCGAAAATTTGATTCTCCCTTAAGTCTTTAATGAATGCATCAAGCTTGATCTTAAACAACCTACATAGTATATCAGGTCTGTCTTCTGGTTGAAGTGAAGTATCCTTAAGAAACCTTTTAATCTCAGGCCATTTGGGATTACACGTAAAGGTTATGAAGAAATCAGGATATCCAAACCATTTACATAGTGACATGGCATCCAAATAGTTTTGCAGCATATAGCGTGCACCTCCGGTAAAGGATGAAGGTAATATGACACGTTGGCCGACATTCGAGATATCAGTCGTTCCTTGAGCTTTTTGGTTACGTAAATTTTCATAAGAATCACATCTAAGAACATGTTGTTGCCTACGTATGTAGTACATTCTCTCCGTTTCCATCATAGTATAGGCATCTACCAGAAATTGTTGAAACAACCTTCTTGAATTAAGTATGAGAGAGAACGAATGATCTCTGTCTTGAATCCTATAAGCGAAATATTCTCTCATTGTACATTTCGCACGCTTGCTGTTGGTCGTAAATGACACACCTCTATGAAGAATGTCAACACTATAACCATCATCCCCATATGGAAATAGCAATGGATATTGGAGAGGAAGGTACGAAGGATGCAATTCACTGATACGTTGTAGACAACCATTTTTTGTTTGAACGACGATATCCCTCTTTTCGATTGAATCCGAAATGTCACCAATTATTAAAGCAGCAACCTCAGAAGCAGTCGGTAGGTTATATGTTCTTCCATCTTGCTCCCTTCTCCCGATAAGTCGTAATTTCATATCAACTTCTGGATTTTTTTGAAAAGTATCTCTTACCATTCTATAAGATCTAACCAAGACATTATTTGAATCCAACATCACCTTAATATCTTTAACAATATCACTATCAGTTGATGTTGATTGATCTTTTTCACCACTAAAATAAAAAATTTATACATAATATTAGTAATATATACATAATATATATATATATATATATATATATATATATATATATATAATAGATTATGAATAAGAAGTTTGAGAAAATACCGAAAACATCTTTGTCTATTTGTAATTTCGTTGTCAGTGTCATAAATGTATAACTGAGAGAATTTTGGTTCCGATCCTTTTGCTGGCAAAAGACTTCCAATACTATGATAATTTTGACCACCCAATCTGAAAATGTAAGGAGCGTTTCCTCTATTGATTGAAGAGTCAATTTTACCACCCATCGACGTGAAAGAAAACATTGAATTGTAACGTCGAATGTTTTTCATGAAGTGTTTGCTTTTTGAATCCATATTTCGAAACATTCTTTCATAAGTAGGGGGTGCATTCTTTAAGTCTGGAAGTTGAACTTTGCCGTAACCACAACATAATGAATAATCCGTGTTCCCATTTTCTTTACCTCTAATGGATTCATTTCTCCATAACTTTGCACGACATGTTTGACATACAACATCTTGATCACCATGATCCAAATATTCTGTAAAATAAAAGCGTTGAATAAAATATCAATGAATTTTATAATTATATAGAACATAGTATCTGAAATGTAAAATGGATTTTATTTTTTCATTACCATTTGAGATACCAACTATACGATTTTCATTGTTCACTTGATGTATATTTTCTACATCTTCTGTCAAATCAATCAATGGGATAGGGGATAAATGTCTTGTCTTCGTTTTTAATTTATGACATCCTGGATTTAACTTGATTGATGATGAAGAAGTTGTTACTGTAGATGCATTTTTTGATGTCATATCATTTGAAAGTACATGGTACTGTCTTTTCTTTGCTAACTTGGAAGTGATATATTTATCGAAACCAATGTTATCTGAATAAAATAAAAATAAAATAGTTAACTAAATAAATAAATATTTACATAATGGATAATAGTATATTTTAAAAACCATAAATAATTACCATTCGTAATGTTAGATAACGGATTTATAACATTTGTAATGTTAGAAAATGGAGTTCTAACATCTGTAAAGGAAGGACAGTATTGTATGGTTGTGTTATGCTTTGCAGGTGTTGTAAATGAATTGACATTTTGAGTTTGACGAACAATGTTGGTTGATTGATCTGCAAATAGAAATAACTTATAAAACTTGTAAATATATGTATTCAACTATATAACAGTAAAAGATGGAATATAAAATACTAATACGGTTATAGTTAATGGTTTTTTTGAAGAGATGCTGTAATGATATACTTGGAACGTTTGGTATTGTTTTTATTTTCTTCGATCTTTTATTTTCCAAATATATTTTTCTTTGTCTTCTTTTCTCTTTGGCCTGCATGTGGTACATGTTACTGTTGTTTTCTGCATAAGAAGACATAGGTTAGGAAATGAAATGTGAAATTATGTACATAATATGTTTATATAATACAATTGAAGTTAGTTAGAATTAAATAAATAATGATAATAAAGTAAATGTATTTAAAAAGTTACCTTTATTAATTTGTTTATTAAAATGTTAGCATCATGACTCATCATCCTCATTTCCAACCTAGGGTTTATTCGATTTAAATCTACTGTTTCCCCAATTTCAACCAATCGTGGGTTCGGATGATATCAGGGGTTAAAACCCTAGATCTCCATGGAATCAATGAAGGTAAAATTGTGTGATACACGATAATCGTGATGATTATAAATTGCTTATTGATCTTATGTATCTATTCAAGATTATTTTTTTACAATTAGAAAAACATCTATTCCAGCATATTGATTATTGTTGTAAATTTCAACCATAAATTCATAGAGAAAACAAAGTGATCTAAACTGATAATACTAACCTGACATATGGATATGGAAATCTTGCAGGTAGAACTGGAATGAGGATTACAACTTTAATGAAGCAGTTTGATGTAAGCTTAATGAAAAAAAAATCGCAGAAACAATTGAACATTAAGAAGACGAATGAGGTGTTTCAAAATTTTGGATTTCACGTTTTGAGTTAAAGTTATATGCTTGAATATTGGAAAAAGATTACGATTATATGATTTTATTGTTGTTGGATCTTTATTAGATATAATTTTCTTCCTGATTTTTTGGAATTTAAAAGATTACAACTAAAAATTAGTTTAATATTCAAATTTCATCTAAAAAAGGAGTATAGAATATTAGGAAATAGTTGGTTGAATATAGGTTATTTACAGAAGATAAGTAAATATGCTGCAACCATTACAAAAATGTATGAATTAATTTTAGAGAATCAAAGATATAAATTTTGTTTACAATTGGTTATTGATTATTTATTAAAAATAACATATTTATCGTGACAAAAATAATAGTTATTCTAAATAATAGACATAAATGTTCCATGTTTAAAATAATCAACATAAAGATGCGAAGGTGATTATGGTTAATATTCATTATTGGAGTCAAATGCAGTTCACGTGTAAAAGCAAAAATGTTCGCATTTGGTAATACAAATCAAAATTGGGTTTCGCATATGAGGTTGTATGGATTGGGGTTAAAGATGCGAAGGTGATTATGGTTAATATTCATTTCGTATTTGGTGAGACAAACAACTCAAATGCGAATGAACTAAAAAAAAAATGACTGGAACATGCGAAGAAAAAGGGTGAATGAAGAATGTGAATTTTACAGTAGAATGCGAATTGGGGAAGAAAGCTAAGAATTTCGCATTTTTATTATACAAATTGATTGATTGATTGATTTGTCTTAATTGTTAATTGCGATATATGAAATACTTATCAAGTTAGGGGCAATATGGTCATTTTGAAGTAAAAGAAGCCTTGGTTATTAAATGAATCATACGAAGGATCTGTTATTTGATTTTGGAATTGGGGCGAATAATCGAACATTTGGAGTTGCGAATTTGATTTTGAAAAGCCAATCAGTTGGGTTCGCATATGAAAACAGATAAGTTTTGATTTTGGATTAGCAATTGGGTTAATTGGTTATTGATTGAGGGACGATTCGTGAAGAAAAATGCGAAGTCAAGAAGGACTGTGAAATGTGATTTGTTCAATATTGGAGTCAAATGCAGTTCACGTGTAAAAGCAAAAATGTTCGCATTTGGTAATACAAATCAAAATTGGGTTTCGCATATGAGGTTGTATGGATTGGGGTTAAAGATGCGAAGGTGATTATGGTTAATATTCATTTCGTATTTGGTGAGACAAACAACTCAAATGCGAATGAACTAAAAAAAAATGACTGGAACATGCGAAGAAAGAGGGTGAATGAAGAATGTGAATTTTACAGTAGAATGCGAATTGGGGAAGAAAGCTAAGAATTTCGCATTTTTATTATACAAATTGATTGATTGATTGATTTGTCTTAATTGTTAATTGCGATATATGAAATACTTATCAAGTTAGGGGCAATATATTTTATTTGAGTTATAACCAAAATCAACTAACTTGTCCATTTAAAACAATAAAAGTATCCAAAAATATTCAAAAACCAATAATATTTGACATCCTAAATACCCCAAAATAAAAATCATACCAAGCAATTAAAATATCTTTATAACCAAAACAAATGATCAAAATATATTAAATGTGTCTTATAACCGATAGAAACTCACTTTTCAATTTTTGGAATCAAGAGTGGAGTTTCCTCTGCGGTTGACTTTCTTTTAGCCTTAGTTGAACTTAAATCATATCCAGAATCAACATCATAAATTTCTTGGAGGTTGCGCTTCAAATCACCTGATATTTTGCAAGGACTTGTTGCGGTTGACTTATCAACTGTTGAGGTTGTAAAACTTTCGTCTGTTTGTGAGATCACATCCTAATTTTAAAAATAAAAAAAAATGTTTGATTCCTAAAAAAAATAACTAATATAATTAAAAGTTTATAAAATAAAATGAAAAACCTTTTGAACAGGCTGTACAATATCATCGGATTCCAAAGCAACTTGATTTAAGGAGACAGATTGATTACTCTAAAAAATAAAATAGAAATATGTTAATCGTTATGTACTTTAACATTAAAGAATTGTAAATTTTCAACAATAAAAAATTACATACCATAAGTTCTATTTTACTTTCCAATTCACAAACAATGGACATATCTTCTGTAACTCTGAGAACTGTGTAGATGTTATTATAGTTGTTGACATTATATTCTGTAATATCTACAACAAAACCAAACTTGCGGTTTTTCAACACATTAAGTTGCATTGGAAATAGGGCATCACTGTCTCCGGCCTGTAAGATATATTTTAATAAATTAAAAAAATTAAGTAAATGTTTTCTGATTTTAAAGGTATGAATAATATACCGCATCATGTATCTTTTTCAACTCGTAGGCACTTATATTTAACAACCTCCTTGCTTCCCTATCAAAAAGAGTCAATCCAATGGTTCCAGTACAATCTTGTACGTTAATTGGAATTATATACCTAAAACAAAAAATAATTATGTCATTGTTAGTGTTGTTTTAAGATTGACAAAATTAATAGAAATAAATATGTCTATACTTTATAACTGACTGAAATTCAGATTTTTTGCATTGTGCATTTGTACACTCGACAACCATAGTTTCTGAAATTCCCTCAGGGTTGGTATACGAATGATTGGTTTTGGGAACAGAGATAATTTTTTTTCCACATTTTTTGCATGCTTCATAATACCATGGTAGATTTTGCCTTATATTAACAATGGAAGCAACTAATAAAAACTTCATTTCCTGTATCATATAAAATGTAAAAACTATTAAAATAAATTATGCAAAAATAAAATGTAAAACATATAAAATAATGCAATATACCTTAATTGGTTCGGTGATCTCACAGATTGTTTTTAATGGAAAATTGCCCTTAAAGTCATCTGTATATGAAGAAGAGTAGCTTTGAAGTGTAGTTATGCTTTTTTCAGTTATACCGAAATTGTCATGACATTTCAACCTGTAATGTTTAATTTAGATTCATGAATATTAGGTTTTGTGTTTTTTTTTAAGTTAAAATACATTATAAAAAAATAAAAAACAACTGGAAACTAACTTATTTTTAAACTCATTTATTTCATAAATGTCAGAATTTATGAACAATTTCGTTACTTCAAAATGACTTTTAGCTTCACCAAGACCTGTAAAAAATGTATATCCAATTATTAAAATTTATATAAAAACAGTAATTATAAACATCTATATATAAAGACTGAATACAAACCATTCCAAATGTTTAGCTTCAAAAACTGCATCACGATAACAACAAATTAACAGTCGGGTTATTTTTTAGGTATTCTGAAATTTGATATGCTTGACTTCCAAAAATAGTAACCTTCAGATGTACAGAACTAAATAAACCATAAAATAGTATATTAATATTAATTTGTGATTAATTAAAGATAATAAATAATAAATAAATAATACAATATAATCTCACTCTAGGTTGCTAAGAGTGACTTTTATATAATGCTTGGATGGTACTAGATTTGAAGTTTCAAGAGGCCTAAATGACACGATATGTCCAATAACATCTACACAACAGATACCACAAAAAATAAAAGTTTAGGATTAAATTCGTAATATTTAAATAATAAAATGTATAACCAAAAAAACAAATGATAAAAAATGATTTTATTAATATTTTATGACTAACCAAAGAATGTGTCTTTTGGGCATGTTTGTTCTATGATAGAATTAAAGTCAACAAACATAAATCCATTGATCGGACCCGAGAAATCATCACATTTTTTTAGGATGCTTTTCCAATCCAAAGTTAAGGTCTGTTTATGACCTGTATAACTAAAACCATTAGTAACAGCAGCCATATTGGGATTTTATAACTATATAACTTTCATCTTCCTTTAAAAGATGACGAAATCTGGAGAAATTCTGATTGAAGACACGAGCTTGGTATTGTGTACCTGTTTAAAAAAAAATTAAAAATTATTATGTTCATGAAACATGTCTAATATTGAATGATGAATAAAAAATATATCAAATACAACAAACCTCCTCATCCATGATGATCATTTCAATGGAACAAACTTTATTATTTCTGACAAAGTTCCAAATTTTAAGCACCCGAACCTTGATATGCGATTTTTCATCTATCTGGTCAATGTTATTTAGGTAAACCTTATTTCCTATTTCCATTTTCTGCAATAAATTTAATCATTATAGAATTGTAAGGAAAATTAGCAACCTTTTAAATTAACAGCAAATCAAAGTAAATGAAACAGCAAAACAAAAAAAACATATTGTAATAGTTAAAGCTTTGAGGTTGTATGGATTGGGGTTAAAGATATTCGCATATTGGAGTCAAATGCAGTTCACGTGTAAAAGCAAAAATGTTTGCATTTGGTAATACAAATCAAAATTGGGTTTCGTATATGAGGTTGTATGGATTGGGGTTAAAGATGCGAAGGTGATTATGGTTAATATTCATTTCGTATTTGGTGAGACAAACAACTCAAATGCGAATGAACTAAAAAAAAAATGAATGGAACATGCGAAGAAAGAGGGTGAATGAAGAATGTGAATTTTATAGTAGAATGCGAATTGGGGAAGAAAGCTAAGAATTTCGCATTTTTATTATACAAATTGATTGATTGATTGATTTGTCTTAATTGTTAATTGCGATATATGAAATACTTATCAAGTTAGGGGCAATATGGTCATTTTGAAGTAAAAGAAGCCTTGGTTATTAAATGAATCATACGAAGGATCTGTTATTTGATTTTGGAATTGGGGCGAATAATCGAACGATTTGGAGTTGCGAATTTGATTTTGAAAAGCCAATCAGTTGGGTTCGCATATGAAAACAGATAAGTTTTGATTTTATAGAATAAATTTAATGACCATATTGCCAATCAGTTGGGTTCGCATATGAATTCCATTTTCTGCAATAAATTTAATCATTATAGAATTGTAAGGAAAATTAGCAACCTTTTAAATTAACAGCAAATCAAAGTAAATGAAACAGCAAAACAAAAAAAACATATTGTAATAGTTAAAGCTTTGAAGAACAGTTTTTTTTAAAGAAAATAAAGTTCTCATTTTTATTACTAATTTCGTATTTTGTAATCATTAACATTTACGTCTTTTAAACTGAAAAGGTAGAAGAAGAACATGATTAAGAAGAATTAGCAAAAGGAAGAAGAAGAACATCACTAATAAAATGAAAAATGATAGAAACTGGTAAATCAGACAATTAAGAGGTTAGAAATATTAGTAATGCTGATATTTTAATACACTAACCTGATATTATAATTTTTGAAGCGTTGCAGAATCAAGAAGAATGAAGAAGAATACGTTTGCAAATATTACTATGGAGCAGAATTCGTCTGGAGCAGAATGGTAAAAAGAAAATAACCGTATGAATGCTATTTACGTTTGAATAAATAAGAATAAGAATTAAGAAGATTACGTTTGAAAAAGAATAATATTGCAGATTTTTAGGGATTTAATTTGCAATCAAAATAAACAAACTTTCAAAATTAATGCGTGTTTTTCGAATCTGAAGATTGATTAAATATTTGTTGCAGATTTTTCCGGAATTATTGAATTTGGATTGTATGGCATTTACGTAAATATAGATGAATAAAATGAGCGGGA